CGATAATGACTCTATTCGCGTTGATATTTCACCAAAATCTCAATTATTGGATCAAAATGATCCTTCAATTCTCATTGTATCCGTGAAATTTCAGAGTGGAGAATCAATTTCACTGATAACTTCATTCAGTGGAAAAATACACCGTCAATACCTAAGTTTGTCAGTAACTGCTGGAGCAAAAATGTTCAATCAGACAACTGGATTGTGTGGATTAATGAACGACTATGAAAATGACGATTTCAAAGGTCCAAATGGTCAAGAGTTTTCTTCCCATATTGATTTCGTTGAATCATGGAGAATGATGAATACTACTCGAAATAATGGAGGTCTGTTCAATTCTTGGTCTTTTACTTTGTCCAACTTTCACAAGGACGACCCGATGGATTCTAGTTACACAAATACAACTCATAAACCTATATACAACCTTGAAAGTGTACCCCAATCAAAAATTGATCTGGCATCTCAGCTATGCTCATCGAACGATCTTGGAAATGATGACAAAAACAAATGTATCTATGACGTTGTTCTCTCTGATGATCCATCAATAGCGAAGCAAGGTGTTTTAACTTCGAAACAATGCAAAAATCAATGTTCAAATAGAGGATTGTGCAAGGATAAAGTTTGCGTATGCATTGATGGATGGTCCGGAGATTATTGCCAAACTGGGGTGTGTGGAGAATGCATATACGGAAACTGTTCCGAAGGATTTTGTTCTTGTGACAAGGGTTTCGAAGGACCAAAATGTGATATTGTGGCTACTTGCGAAGGCAACTGTTCATTCAGAGGAATTTGCATTCGAACAGATGTTTGCGAATGCGAAGAAGGTTGGACAACAAACAATTGTTCAGAAGTAGCCAGATGCCCTAGAGGATGTTCAAACGATGGTCTATGTATAGCTCATAATAAATGTAAATGTCAAAAGGGCTATACAGGAGAAACTTGTTCAGAATATACCTGCGAAAGTGTAAACTACTGTTCAAATCATGGATCTTGCATAGGATTCGACGTGTGTTTATGTCAGATAGGATGGGAAGGAGATTCCTGTTCCAGTCCAGTATGCGAAGAGGATTGTTCGTTGAATGGAGAATGTATAGAACCGAACAAATGTCTGTGCAGCGATGGATTTCGCGGTGATATATGCGATATGTTAGAAGCATGCCCCGACTTGAACAATTGCACTAACCATGGAATATGTAGAAATTCCACAGAATGTATCTGCGATAGTGGATTCACTGGAAGGAATTGTAGCGAACCCAAATGCAATCCCCCGTGTACAGTCAATGGTAAATGTGTTTCGCCCAATGAGTGCGCATGCGATTCAGGCTACACTGGCAATGATTGTTCACAATTTTCATGCGAATCGCTGGATTTCTGTTCCAGTCACGGTAGCTGCGATTCTTTTGATCAGTGCTCCTGCGATCAATCGTGGTTTGGAGTAACTTGCTCAGAAACTTCTTGCATAGGCAAATCCAATTGTTTTGGGAATGGTCTTTGCATTGAGCCGAATGTTTGTCGGTGCAAGAGAGGATTTATGGGAGATGATTGCTCACAAGTGGCATTGCCAAATATAGAAAAACCGCAATTCCTTCAAGAAAATTATACAGTCTATGTTGACGAGTCGATTCCAACTGATGAGTATCTTGTCAGAATTCAAGCGAAAGATACCGATACAGGGTCCACTCAAGGGTTGTTGTATACTCTATCCAACAGAAATATCTCTGTAAAAATCGATGAGATAACGGGAATTTTACAATCAAATGGAAAGTATCAACCAGGAATATATCACGTTGAAGTAATTGCAGTTGAGAATACACCAGCAAAATTATCTTCAACAGCATTAGTCATCATTAATGTGAATGATATAAATGATTGCGCTGTCATTGAACATCCTCAATTCGATGATAGAATAATCTTACATACTGGAAAGTTGCAAGGATCTCTCGTGACGAGAATAGAAACAACTGATAATGATTTGGGTTCAAAAGGTCAAATGGTATATGAAATGATTAGCATTCCCCAAGATTTAGGTATGATTGGTTTAAGAGAAAATTCATCGGAAATTATAACCAAAAAATATCCTCTGCCAATTGGAAGGTATGAAAATTACGTAATCGTTTACGACAGATCCGACAATCCTTGCACTAGCACATCTTCATTCGTTGTATATATTCAACAAGAAGACAATGCAATCGATGCACTTACTACGAACAAACCGGACGATGAAAGTACAAAATACGAATCTACAAACCCAACAAAAACCAATGCAGTAACAACAGCAACATCTACTGCAAAACCGATTGAGGAAAATTCAAGCAAGCTTTATTTGATCATAGGCATTTCAAGTGGATCTGCAATAGTAATTCTTACCATAGCAGCAATTGTGTTATGCTTATACTGTCGAACCAAAGCTGTTAAATAGTTGTTTTTTAGGAGTAGGCGAAAAAGTTGACCTAACACACACCACATACCAATCCACTTTTTATTGGCACCTTTCCAACTTTTAACAAATTGCAATTATCTAAACACCTTAACCTAATTAGTCTATTCTCATCTGCAATGTAAAATTTAACATTTGACAATGCTTAATAACTTTCATATGATTCAATAAAGTATTCTTTGGCAATACTTTACAGTATGGTAACAAATCATCATATGATATTAGAAAAAATGATTTAACAATTTTCACCTGCATCTTTTCAAGGTGTTTGTTCTCCCTTCTCTAATTTTCTTGGTTACCTTCTCATTTTCATTTAAATGGGATCATCTATACCGCTGAGTAGTGTAAATATTTAGGTATTATATTCATAAAAGGATTATTATAGTAAACAAGAATTTATCATAATTCTCCAATTTTCATTCTAGCTCTCTAGATTTTTAAATTGCTTTCAAATTTTTCTTTTGTGACGTCATCACCATAGTAATTGGATTGCGTCACATAAATCATTTCAGTGGTTAGGGTTAGGGTTAACGGACTCTGAATCAGTCTGGCCCAAAAAACCTAGATATACAATTAGCCAATTTGAATTGAAGAAGGGTTAGTTAGAGATATTTTTGAAAAGTTGACTACTACTAGTTTGCTTGGAAGGATGTGAATTAACAAAAAATAAAATCTACAATTTTTTTTCAAGATGATATAAACTTTCAAACCTTTAAATGATTGATTAGGAGACTTGTCAAAACAAATTTTATCATTTTTCTTCTCTGTATTTCCAACAAAGTGGAAGATGTGCCCAATTTCTGAATTGAATCCACAATTTTGAAACAATACTTGTTTCAATTTTGTGCAGTTGAATTTAATGTTATCAAAGATAATTCTTCCAATATCACTTCCAAGTGAATTATCTCCAAGATGTAAAATTGTCAGCTGTGTTTGCCTTCCAATTGCTTCGCCTACTATTTACCCAATTTCTGAATCAGATCGGCAATTTTCAAACCATATTTCTTTCAATTTTGAGCAGTTGAGATAAATGTTTTCAAAAATATTTCTTCCAACTTCACTTCCAAGTAAATTACCAACAAGATTCAAAGATGTGAGTTGTTTTTGCCTTCCAATGGCTTCCCCAACTATTATGCCCAATTTCTGAAGCAAATCCGCAATTTTCAAGCCATATCTTTTCCGATAGTAAGCAGTTGATTTGAATATTTTTAAAGATATTTCTTCCCACATCACTTCCAAGTGAATTATTCCTCAAATTCAATGTTGTCAATTGTGGTTGTCTTCCAATTGCTTCCCCAAATGTTTTCCCAATTTTGGAATCGAATCCACAATTTTCAAACCATACTATTTCCAATTGTGTACAATTGAGTTTAATATTTTGAAAGATGATTCTCCCCACATCACTTCCAAGTGAATTATTCCCAAAAATTCAATGCTGTCAATTGTGATTGCCTCCCAATGGCTTCACCAACTATTAGCGCAATTTCTGAATCAAATCTACAATTTCCAAACCATATTTCTTTTAGTTTTGTGCAGGTGAGTAGAATATTTTTAAAGATATTTCTAATCATATCACTATTGAGTATATTTTCCACAAAAATCAAAACTGTCAATTGGGTTTGTTTGCCAACTGTTGCACTCAATACTTTCTTAATAGATAAATCATAAACAGAGTTATATGAATTGAAAATTACATTTACAAGAGTTGAGAGATAGTGAAAAATTGAATTTTTTACCAGTTTCAATAGTATTTTCACCTTGTAATAGTTCCGTGTACTGAGAAGTTTTACCTATTGAGTTTAATAGGATAGAAAAAACTTCCAAAGTAATTGTAGTTCATTGGCTCCATCTAGTAATAGTGTTACTTGAACATTCGTACTCTTTAAAAAGTATTCAAACAGCTTTTCGTTAAAGTTTGAATTCTTTGGAAAATTATTACGGAAGAGGAACTCGACGAATTGAGAGTAGGTTATATTTGGAACTCTTCCAAGTGGGAATATATAAGAGAAGACAGTCCTCTAAGAAATTATTACCAGTAATCCAAGTATGTAAAATCTTCGTAGCATGATAAGTTTTACCCATACCTGCTTGACCCCTAATTAAAATTCTTCTTTGACCTTGTTCGCCCTCTAAAATCTCTAAGATAGGTAGAAATTCTTCGGTTATCAAATATTTAATATATTGATTAAAAAAATCATAATCATCTTTATCTTCATCTTCAACTTTCAAAGAATAATCTAAAATTGAATTTTTAACAAAACAGGAAATAAACATTTTGTCAGATTCAAAATATTCCTTCATTATTTTATAGTAGAATATTAATAATTCATTCTTTTCCACCATTTTTCTTATCTGAATGTTCTGAGGAAGAAAATGAGAGAATAAACAAGCTCCAACCCTCCTAATCCTAATTAGTAGAAAATTTCTACTTACTTTTCTTACGTATCACTGGTTTCTGTATTAGTATTCAACAGCATGTGTTGCTGGTAAACAGCTATGCCTAACTATGGCAGCAATATTGAGATTTCATTGAGCAGTGCTCTCACTCCAATATCTAATATGTAATGTAATGAATAATTTAAAAATGAAAGGTGATGACTTTGTGCTTAGAATTTATATGAAATAATTAATGAATAGTCAATTTGAATAAACAAAAGATTTGAATGAGAAAGAGAGAAAGAGAGAGAGAGAGAGAGAGAGAGAGTGTGTGTGTGTTTGTAGAACAATAACTGTATAAAGAAGTAGTCTTTCTTCTCTTACAGTATTCTTGCCATCAACTACAAACATTAGGTGTTCTCTCTTTGAGTAGTATTTCAAAAAAAAGAGACATTAGACGAGTCTGGAAGGACAAGCAAATAGTAAACATTATTCAACATCAAACAAACTAAAAGATATCTGGAAGAACAAGCTTAATGATCTGTAAAACATTGGCTTTTGATTGAATTGACTTCTAAGAGAGATAGTTAAGATATTCATTTCAACTTCTACATCTTCTTCAATTGGTAAATATTTCATTTATCGAGCAATCATTATGAGAATTGCAATATTTTTTAGACATTTACAGCCATTTACAATGACTGTTTAAATGGCGAAGATGAAGTGAAAGACTTGAATTTCGATTTTTGCATACACTGTTACAAGCAATATATGTCAAATTCAACAATTTGTTACATCAGCATTCTCGCTCCAGTGATCTTCATGAGATCTTCTCTTCATTCCATTCTCTTGTTTTTGTCATACCGGCCATAAATAATTCAAGTATTATAATGTATTGAATAAATTGGAAGATTTTTTTAAGAAATGACATTTATATCAAACTTGTATAATAACAATTGATAAGTATTGAGTGAAAATATGTTCAAATTTTCCACCAGTTTTTTTTGTTGGTGGAATGTTTTGGGTTTCTGTTAAAACAATGGTTTGAAATGAGACAGTTATGGCTTTGCCATTTCTTCCATCTCATATTATTCCATTAGAATTTACAAAAATAAACGACTACCTTAAATCAATTAATGAACTTGATGATTTTATTGATTATTTTGAAAAGACCAAAAAATGGTCCATATATCAATGTCCAATAAGAACAAATAATGATGCGGAAGGGTTCCATAATTGTTTAAATGGAAATATTGGCACTAATTTATCATTCTATTCTATGGTAGATGAATTGAAAAGGGAAGAAGACCTTATACTATAGCATATCAGAGAATGCTATTAGAAAAAAAGATGATCAGATATGAAAGAAAGCTTTATAAGAATTTGCAAATTAAAATTTTTATGATTTGGGAAAAATTTGAGAAGCGTCAGATAACTTCATCTCAAGTTTTAGAAAAGTCTTCTAAAATTTACTTAGAAACTCAATAGAATAATACCTAATTTTATGCAATTACACATTTCTTAGATCTTAGTATTTCTTATGAAATTACCTTTTCAAACAAACATTGTTAAAAAAAAATCATTAAATTTATTCAATACCAGTCAGGGGGTGTGAAGCACACCCAAATGTGAGATATGATTTTGTTTCAATGTTCTATTTTAACTCTGTTATACAGCCATATAAACCAAAATATTCCTCAGAAAAAAATAACTTTTTTATTTTTTAAGTTAGAGCTCTGAAGTTTTGCAATTAAAATAGCAACACTACTCCAATATCAAATCTTCAAACAGAATTTAATTATCTTGGATAGTTATTCACCTATTTTACATCAAAGTTTATTACATTTTCCTTATATAATTTATAAATAACACATTTATTTTTTGATGGGAAGATAGTTAAATTGTTATAACGAATGTCTTCTAATTGTTTATAACTTTTTCTGCCAATAATTTTGCTTCAAATTTCATCAAAATCGGTCTAGTAGTTGCTGAGATATGGTTTTATATATAAAATGAAAATAGTCGTCATGAAAATATAAATTTTTTTAATATTCAAGCTAGAGCTTTGAAAATTTGTACATAGACTAATTTCACTGTGCCGATTACACTTATTCATAATTATGTCCCTTTAAATTGTATTAGTTTTCCTCCAAGATAGATAACTTACTTTTGAACAGTACATTAAATGTTTGCCTATATGTACCAAAAAAAACTAACTTTCTTATTAATGAAGATAGAGCTCTAAAATTGGGTATATTTAGTAATTTTGGTACTCCGATTACAAATCTTTTTACAGAAATCAATTATCTCTTACGGTTCCAGAGATATGGCGCTGTCAACATTCATTACTATATAGTACATATATGCCTATATGTAATATTCGTCAGGGCTAAGCTATCTCTGTTAATATTTAGAATAGAGCTCTGAAATTGTTTTTATATAGTAATTTGGATACACCGATTCCAAATCCATTTACAGAATTCAATTATCTTTCATGGTTCCAGAGTTATGGCACTATCAACATTCATTGCTATTGTATCATTCTGATGGATTTGCAGACTTCCCACAGAACTTTTATCAATGTTTATCCTCATCTCTTTTGACAAGTTTGTAGAAAGTACTCACAGTCAGGTTAATAATGACCAATAAAAAGGAAAGTTTTCAACAGAGTTTGGTTTACTGGTTTCATTTTCTCACATAGTTGTTGGCACCACATAATCTTATCTATAGATAATCAGGTTGTGACATGTTCTCACAGATTTTTCCACATATCTCATACACATATATTGTAAATATTTGTTCACATGGTTCATTTGCAGTTTGCAGATCAAGGAGTCAACATCACATTTAGTTAAATGTGCAACTGCTACAACTGCTTTTGAAAATCAACATCCTTCAATAATAAAATGAATAAAATGGTATGTACATTAAACTGTTAAACAGTATTACTATAAGTAGCAGTTTTAATATGATATATATTAATTAAAACCTGAAGAAGACAATTCCCTATTGGAATTCTTTAACCTCTCTGTAGGTGTAGGTTAGTAGACCCTGATGAGCCCTTGGTAATGAACATAGAGAGGAGGACAAAACCATGGTAGGCCAAATAGGAAGGAATAATTCAGAAAAAAATTTTTTTAATGGAAATTGCTTTTATTGTTGATTTTGGTGTATTTTTTCTTTGACTGCTTCCCAAAATCAATTGGGACTCTTGAAATGTGAGAATTCTGTTTCTCTTTTTTGACTTTTGTCAAAAAAAACCCTTCACGAACCCCAACTAGTAAAGAGAATGTGGAATGAGAAGAACTAATACAATAGCCTTAATCAATGACTAAAACAAAGCTTTTTCCATGGATTGATTTTTTTCAATTCAAAATTACAATATTTGACTATAGCCTTCAAAATTGTTTCTTTTTTTTCTCCTTCTTGCAAAGGATAAAGATTCTTATACATTTTCACTGTGAAGTAATTTTGTTTTGTTGGTGAATTTTTTAAGTTTGTTCTGTTGATAATTTGTTGTTAAAGCCAAATGATGAAATTTTGAAAGTGTTCTTATTATCTTCATAGCAAAGTATGCTGACTTAAAATTTCTGATGGTCAGATGTGTGATACAAGTCAGGTCGGTCATATAGGTCAGATATGCCAGATTGCAACTTTATAACTTTGTAAAGTTTTCTTTAAAGTAGAGAGACACCTTGATATATGGTGATTGATAATTTCTGATGGTACAGTTAGAGAATAACAATAGAAAATGACTATACTAAGATATAATACATGTGAAGGAGACAAATGTCATTCTCAAAGTGCCAAAACTGTGGTGTGTAGTTCTATGTTTTGTTCTGTAATTCATAAAGAAAAAGATGAGGTTATTACTTACCAACAAAAATGCTCTGATACTCCCTGCACAGACAGTGAGAGGGATAGTATATGTTATTTGAAAAATAATATCAAAAATTGCATTAGTTGCTGTGATAGTGATCTATGTAACAGTCATTTATATAATACTGGAAATATTGAATCTCCTCCAAATCTGTTACTTGCCTGTATTTCAATTATTATTGCCATTTTTTTTCAAAATCAAGGTTATATCTTGATCTGCATTTTTGTTTAACAACTGCAATATAACAATTACAATTTATTTTAATATGTAGAGATATGAAAAACTTAGGTTTGGTTGGAAGATTTCTCTTCAGATATTGATTACACAAGCATTGATAAAGATTCTTTTAAATTCAGTTGTAGTGAGAGTGTTAAAATAAAGTATAGAAAGAATAAAAGAACAAAAATTGAAACATAAGAAACAAAATAGAGAATAAAAATACAAAAATAGAAAATAAATAAAAATTAAATAAACAAATAAAAAGTAAAAAATAAAAAATGGAGAATAAAAAACCTTGGAAATGTAAAGACTTAAAAGAGAATATAGGAATGAAATATACCAAGATGTAAATTAAAAGGGTACAGGAGAAAACGTCCACTATTTGGAGAAAACGTCCACTGTTTGGAGAAAATGTCCACTGGAGAAAACGTCCACTGGAGAAAATGTCCAATAGATGAAATGCCTCTTAGAGGAATTTGATGTAGGGATGAAAATATTTAATATTCAGAGTTATAAGTCAAATTTGAAAGGAAAAAACTAAATAAGAACAACTGGAAATATTTGAATATGAATATATTAAATAAGTACAACTAAAGACCAATAATAATAATAATGATAGACAACAGTGTAACAAAATTGAAGAACAAAGAGATATTAGACTGGGCTATAAAAATTGGAAGCTTTTTCAAGTAAATCCAATGATGTGATTGAAGCAACCTCAAATTGTTGCCATAAGCTAAATATTTTGCTTTGAATATTCTGATATACTTTTCTTTGCTGTCTACAGATTTTCTTCTCGCTCAGCAGTTTTTTATATAGTTTTATCAGATCTGCTTCTCTTTTCAGTTCATCCAAAAGGGAATAGAAGCCAGAGTTAGATTGATGATTTTTGTTTAACCTGCGATGCCAGCCCTCAATGTCATTATTGGTTCTGATAGCCTCACCATATACAGACCACATCTCTGGTTTAAAATATCCATCTATCCATTGAGTTTCAATGTACTCAAATAAAGGATGTATTTCAAAGGAACATATTTCTTTTATAGCCTGAAAAGTTGGTTGAACTAAATCAGAAGGCAGGAAAGGTAAGGTCATTAACTTTTTCATGACATCATATTCTGCTCCTCTTTCCTTGTACATCTTACAAAATCCCAATTCCTGGAAAAAAAACATATGTATTATATCTGCATCTGAAGTGGTTGATTCAATTACTTGAATGTTTCTATAAACTGCTTGTGTCCAGTGAAAAACACATCCTTTAATGATTGTCTGAGGATAAGTGGAGGATAAAGCTTTCCAAATAGCCTTTTCAAAGTCCACAACAATTTTTTTAGGGCTATGTCCATTTGTTAAATCTTGCATTGCCTGCTTTGAAAGTTATCAGATCATTAAAGTTGAAATGTAAAGTTTCTGCACCTTAAAAAGTTTCTTGTAAGCCACCTTTTTCTTGGATCCCATAAAAGCAAATGCCATTGGAACTTGTTTCATCTCACCATTCTTTTTGATGAATCCATGAATGGAAAAAAGTTGATAAAATGGGTCTTTTACACATTTAAATGTGCCATCCATAAACCATATTTTACCCTTTGATAATAAGTCAATTTGCTTTAAAGTTGAAAATATCAGTATTCTATCATTCTCCATTTGAATATCCATTTGTAAAAAGTCATCAGGTATAAATGTTTTTACCAGATCAAAGTGAATACTTTGAGGTTCAGCTGGTCTAAACTTCTTTCTTGTCCAGTTTGCCAGTCTTGTACAATTATCTAAAGATGGAATAGCTTCACCAGAACTGCAATGTTCCACCAGAACATTTTCAGCTAAACGTTTTCCTGAACTAATAATATCTTTAT